CAAACGAAGTAAGAACAGCAAAGAAAAGAAGAAAAGAAAAAAAAGAAGAAAAGAAAACAAGAAACAAACGAAAAAGAAACAAGAAACAAGCGAAAAAAAGAGATATTCCAGAAGCAGGGCTCGAACTCAGAACTTTCAATTCAAGAGAAGATGTACCCCCCCTGAATACATAAGAAATAATGAAAATAAAAAAACTAAAAAGATGGGACGATTCCCCCGAGACATTCTGTGAAGCTGAGGCGGCGAATCGGCTTACGTTACGGTTAGAGATTTCGGCCCTTCCACGCTATCCCGAGTGAACATAAAACTTAGTCTTAACCAAAAGGCCAGGGAGTGAGGGGGTAGCCGCCCACTAGAGCATACCTTTAGCTACCCTCTTAGACCATCGTACTATGAAGACACTTAAGATATCTAATATCTAATTGGGGTAGTCTATTCGGTGAAGTTCTATGCTAATATATGACGTCACCAAAATCCTTAGGGATCAGCGAGCCAATCAGAGCTCAGCTCGGGAGTTAGCAAACGATACAGGCTTTGCATAATTATTTTTCAGTAGATTTATTATTTGATGGGGGGTGGGGTGGGTGCCGAGTGATGGTTTACGGCCGAATGCCGATGTTCGATGTAATATGACGGCTTTTACCAAKCTGTTCAATTGTTGTTATTGTTTTCCAAATCATCACAGGAAAATTGGGTGTACGGTTCTTATATCAGACAGACATTAATCGTATGAGGAAGTAGCTGATCCCATTAAAGAGTGCTCAATACACATAAAGTGTAGAGCTAGTTATATATATGATAGCAAAGAGGCAAGATTTTGCTGTAACTCCGAGAGACATTATAGACAGACATTATATTATTAGTATTCGGATAAACATCACGGCACAAATCTCTTCAAAATTCTTAACTTAAGTGGTTTACAAACCAGGCAGATATTTGCTGGAATTCAACGGAACGCAATTAAAGACCTCTAGAACGTTCAATCAGCACATTTTCGTTCTTGATGGTATAAAAGTTTACAAATTATTGAATATAAATATATAAATATAGTGAATGTTAACAATTGAAGAAGATGAATGATAATCCGTAAAAAATGATAAAGAAATCAAGGAAAACTTAGCAGGCTTTCGGTTTTATTGCAAAACTATAATCAGGCGAATGGTAGTAGTTTTAAAACATGGATGTAAAAATACAGTTTTGATAATAAAAACATATTTTTAACGGTCGAGATTCTACAGATACAGAAAGTATGTCTTTGATGAGGGTCTCAATGGGGGGGTCCGCATCACGACTCACGGCTAAAAATTTGACTTTTTYACGCCTCACGGCTAATTTTTTTCTCATTTTCACGACTCACGGCTAATTTTTCAGCCGTTTCACGGCTATTTTTTCTCATWYTTACGAKTYACGGCTAATWTTTTAGCCGTTTCACGGCTCACGGTTAACCCCATTGAGACCCTCTTTGATTACATGTATAAAAGTTAAAGCTCTTGGACCGCTCCATGTCGTGGATAAAAACTTTCAGATGGATATGTTGTAGGCAGGGAAGCAGCTAGGGCGCCCCGCGTCAGGCCGCAGGGGAGGAATGATCAACTATCACAATAGGTCCCTTGGCCCCTGGGAATCGCCGCCTGCATTCATAGGCAACGTAATGGTTGATCGCCACGTGATGCTTCCAGTTCCTTTCAGCACATACAGATAATTCAGAAAACGTTGTATACTGAAGATATAGTGTATTCGAAGTTTACTAAATCTCTAAATGACATGAGTCACATGCAGTCCTCGACTGCCTATATTTGGCTCACTGAAGAATCAAATGGGAGTAAGTGTCACGTGTATTTCATTTATAGCAAGAACCGCATTGGTGGATTGAATTATGACGTAATTGAACGTCCCCGCACCTTGGAGGTTAGCATGCTTTTATTTTGTTTATCTTTAGTGGTCATATTACAACGATTGCAATGCTTTGGAGGAGAAATCAAGGACTGTAGCACTCCTGCAGGCCTTACACTCATTGAAGACGATTTTCTTATCGAGACCAAAGCATGTAATAAAGATAAACAACGTCAAAAACACTGTATAGTAAATATCAAGACGATGCCAGGAAATTACATGAAACTTTGGTTTACTGTATTCAATATTCAAGATAAAATGCCAGACTGTTTATCTAACTTTGTGGAGATCTTTATTGGGTAGGTATGAACAGATTTTTCAATTATTGTTTCGTTTGAATAAAGAAATTTTCCATAGAGTGCAAACTACAAGCCGTGAAACTTAATTGTCGTTTTGTTCGAGAAATTTGATGTTATCAGGTTGTTTACTATTATGCAGTGCTGCTTTGATTATGTGTAGAATAAAAAGAATAGAGGAATATTTATTTTTCGAGTGCCTAAAATTCTAATAATACTAGACAAAACTACAAACTCACGAACATGTGCTATTGGTCACGTGATTATATACATTTTCCATATCATATAAAAGGTACTGTTTTCCAAGTCGTGGTCATTATTTCTATTAAGTTCTCTTCTTGATTACTGTTGTCACTTACTCTTATGATATTATTATTAGACCCTGTTTACATGAGATAGGGTGCCCCAACGTGGTAGGGCTTTTCTTTTCCCTGGAGGATTTAAAACAAAGGATTTTGGCCCTACCACTAGGGGCACCCTATCTCATGTAAANCGTCGATGCGCGGAAAGAGAAAAGTATTGGGTGAAAATGAATTATGACCTCGCAGAGGAAGTAAGTACTCAGTGATGTATGATTTCATTCATTCATTTATTCATCCATTTCATTCATTTGTTCGAGAAATGATTTAATAATTTTGATGGTCTTCTTGTGTTCACAAGCCAACGCGTCTTCCTCGGAAGAGCCGCAGTCGCCGTCTTCCTGATCGAAAGACAATCGAAGACAATGTCTACCTTGCTGCAGGATGGGTAGGACTGGGTCTCGCTGCTGGCTACGTCATTAGTTATTTTATTCGTTAATTAACAGGCTGCCATCTATACGGCGCTTCTATTAACACTAAGGTATGATTTTATGAAGCTGTAGTGTAGTTTCTTATGTTGTTCGATCATTAGTTRGCAATGTCACTTAAATTTCCCAAAGATTCCACAAAAACAGTTCTAGTGAGGTATTACTGCAGTTTTTCTTATAAGAAACTAGTAAAATGGAATCGTAACTATATATTGGCCTTCATCATACTTACAGCTACAGTAAAGAAGTAAAAACAGCTGGAAAAGCAACACAAAATTGTTTTTCTTGTTTCACTAAAAATCCTTCTTAATTTTCCTCGTTTGTTTGTTGATTCAACAGTTTGCTTTCTACAGGCATCAAGTCAGAGTTTTGTCGGTCAGCAGTCTTTTGGTTCAAATTACTTGACAGCGATACATCATCGGTAGGAGTGACGTCACAGGAGTTGTTCACAGGCCCCCTATTGTCCAGGGTGAGTCTATTGTCCCTTCTACTTCGTATTTTGAATAGTTTTTTGAGTTCAGATCGAATGTCTTTTTTCCATAGAGCGTACACGATGGGGTTAACACAGCTGTTGAACACGAGCAGAAGCCTCGATGTGAGTGTGACTTCCCCATGGACCCCTCCCTCGTGATAAAAAGTTTTGATAGTTCGGTAAGCAGACATGATCCAACAAAAAACGAACATCATGTATACCACACCAAATACTTTGATTGTATTCTTGGCTTCGGCGGAATAACTGTTGCTGTTCGAGTCGCATCCGACAACCGATTGTCGAAGCGATTGGATTCGTTTTGCTTGCTTTAATGCCATGCTAAGAATAAATGCGTACGCAACAAACATCACAAGGCACGGCACACACATGAATATAATGATCTGTGTCATGTAAAAGATTTTATCTGCTGTTTTTCTGAGGAGGATGTCATTTTCGTACCCATAGGTCCATGTCAGGGGGATACAGAAAACGATTGTCGGGATGAACCAACTTGCGACGATAAGCTTAACGACAAGTGAATAGGTAATTGTAGAATAATATTTCAGCGGCCGCATCACGGCAATAAATCGATCAAGAGTCAAACAACATAAGTTGCACAGTGAGATAAAAATGAAAATATCGTACAAAATCTTCATGAGAATAACATCACACACGTGGCGGAAGCACGCGATTCTAGAAGGAATGATCGCTAATGCAACAGCGAGGTCTGATACAGCTAGTGACAATACCAACCARTTAGTATTGGTATGAAGTCTCCTTTTTACGGCCACTAGATAAACGACAAATCCATTCCCTATCAGCGTCAGAATTTCAAATACGATTAAAATGGCGATGAAAATGATGATTTCCTTTGGCATTGACCTAGGAACGACACTCGAGTCTGTAGAATTCATCGATTTGTTGCTAAGCGTGCTCATTCCGATGTAGCTGAAGAGAAATACCCTGCTTCTTTGGCCTGTGGTTTACTTGGATCTCCTTGACTTAATTAGATTGTTGCAAGACCAATTTCCTTGGTTATCCTTAGACTATTCAATACCAGCCCATGCACATTCAGCTAAAAAGATCTTTCTCTTTTTCAGATACACCCAGAACTGTCATAAGCGATGTGTTGCTTATTTTCAAATAAAAATTGAATCAGTGTCAAGCTCTCTGTTGGTAATCCAATGATATTTATGAACGATAAGAGTAACAGCATGATCTTTTCATAGTCATCTCTGCATGTGATGGTTCATTTGGTTTTATTGCCCTGATAAACCCTATCCAAAGACCAGCATGGGGCCACTCAATCACAAAACCTACTTAACAATAAAGTCAGCCAACGTTTTAAAGTCGTTTTGATTTGACGTTCAATAAATATATCAGATAAAATTTCCGTTTTACGTGCTTTATATTTTGATACGCGGACAGTTTCGTATCGATTTCTGAGAGTAAATTTGCTAAAGGTGTTGCCCCAATCAGTTTCATGATGAAACAGAATGTTCTTATCTCAATTACATCACAAGTCATGCTGCGGCGAAACTAAATTTAGAAAACCTCAAGCTCACGATAAATTTTATAACAATGTGTAGAAATAGTACGAATAATTTTTGTATGCTACCGATAGTTTGATTTCTAAAAGTGAGTAGTATTTTTTATACTCGTTTTTTTTTCTGTTCATATTCGCCTTTGCAATATTTTCCACATTACTATTATACTCCATTCTTGCTGCGTTAATCTTGTATTATCATATCCTACGGCCTTAGTTTTTCCGACATGGTTGCTTTGCTACAAATAATAGATGGTAGTCTTGTGATGCGAGTAAACTATCAAAAAAAGACACAATTACCTAACGACAACATAAAAACAGGCGAGAGACGCGCTGCGGGTCGCTCATCTCTGCATAAAGATTTCGTTTGTTTGATTCCGGCCTTTTCTTAGCAGATGGTTGATAATAAAGGGACACAAATAACAAGCTAGTCGATTGGCTATCACTTATATTTACCTCAAGTGTGGTTCCTATAGATTGAAGCAACACGCTCTACGTGGCATCTAATAATACACTTAGTGGGAACAGAGAAATAGTTGTTGACAAGAACAGTTGGTTAACACAATTAGTAATTGATATTTATGTTGAGTACTTTAAGTGTTTGTACTCAAGTAGTTCAGGGACCGCGGAGCAGGGGGGGCTGGGGGGCTGCAGCCCCCCAATAATTTTTCTGCCATTTTGAATTTTCTTAAATAAATAAGCGAAGAGCTTATTACGGAAGGTAAATCGACTCGTGATGATGTACAAAATTATCCATGGCCTCATTGCAAATGATGGCCTACCTACACTTGAACCAAAGCAATGGAGGAGTAGGCATACCAACAGCAAAGCCTTAAAGAATATGCCCTCAAGAATGGACTACCACAAATACTCCTTCTTTCCAAGAACGATTAGGGAGTGGAACTCCCTACCCGAAGACATCATTAACATATCGAGCATCGACATTTTCAGGGGATCTCTTGACATTACAACTTGACAATTTTTTTTTTTATTGTTTTAAGACCCCCCGTAAGGATTTTCTAGTTAGAAAGAGACGGGGTACTAGGAAGAAGAAGAAGAAGAAGCCTCCTTATGAAATTTCACTTTTGATTCTATAAAGATTATGTAAAAACTAATCGTGAAACATTTAAAATTGAAGCTTTTTTGAGAAGTCTTTGGGATTTTATTGAATATCATGTTACCGTGGTTTTAGTGGTCAGAAATATGTCTTGGATAACGCCTGAAAAAAACGCTGGAAATGACATTTCCGAGAGTTTAAGATTTCAAAATTTTCCGGGGGGAATACCCCCAAATCCCCAGTTCCTCCTGTCTTCGGCAGTCTCTATCCCCCCAAACAAATTCCCGCTCCGCGGTCCATGTAGTTATATTGATAATTACTGAAATCCCTTGTACATATATTATYATTTATTCAAGAAAAGGTACCCTAAGATTTTATATTCATACAGCAAGCAGACAGACAGACAAGTGATTTAACAGTTGGTTCTATACTTGAGGTTCTATTATTGAGGTCATCAAACCCACAAAAGCATTCTAAATAGTCGAATAAACACACAGAAATAATCGTACAGCTAGAGAGTGGTAAGGTGTATAATTCTAACGTGGGATTGATGTCTTCATTAAAGAATAGTCATTGAATATCTAAGAGCAAACTTGTACCCAGTTCCCGTTTGCTCTCTTTTAAAGGAGACCTGGGTACAAGACTGGTAATGGAGAATTATTATGGAAGGCTCAGGTTTTGATCTTAACAAAATAAATAACAAAGCCTCAGAACATAGTTCTGTAGTGGGGGTCCCCTTGTGGACCACGCCCACGGGGCGTCCATTTAGCTTCTGACCTAGGAGGAACCCAATCCCTCTCTGTTCTACCTGGGGGTTGGATCCAGTCTCTATCAGCTCTTACTGGTGGCCCTCTTTCCTGGGCCATCCAGTCTCCCTCAGATCTAGGCTGCCAGTTTCCAGGCCTTCCATCTGGCTCAGGAAACCTGAAGCCTGGACCACCAGGTCCTCTATGTCGAAACCCATCATCCATACTTGACGGTACTGGTATTGGTCTTGACACACGCTGCTCTGGTCTTATGTCATCAAAACGAGGAGGTGGTTGGTCAGGATGTGGAAATACCACTGTTTGCACATGAGGCATATGCGCAGCCACTTGGGGTGGGCCCTGYGCAGGAAAACTTGTTACTGGGTGTTGTGGGCGTGGTCCATCAACAAAGAACGCCTCATGCGGCATAGTCTGCACAAAGTGTCTGTCCATAGAAACTGTTCCAGGAAGCGACACATTGGTGAATGGACGCTCTCCAACAGATAGTGGAATTGGCATAACCCCTGTAGGAACATTGTCCCTAGATGGAGGGTGAAGGAAAAATGGTACCCCTACTCCACCTGGAGGAACCATCACACGACTAATTTCTGTTTCTGCATCTTCATTGCCATCACTGTCCCCACCCGACTGTTCACGCTGATGGCGTCTTTTGATATGCGATTGAAGATCACGCTGTGAGAAGTAGCTTCGACGACAACCAGAGATGCCATAACGACTGCCACCAAATGAACAAACAAATACACTTCCTAAAGGAGCACGCTCAATCCTCTGAACTCCTTCACCACATCTAAAAACAAATACAAACAGCTCTTAAACAAATAAACAAAACAACAACAAACAAATACACTTCCTAAAGGAGCACGCTCAATCCTCTG